GGGACTTAACGTCCGGGCTAGGTCTCCAATTTTTTGTTTTATGTTCAATATATATTGACAATTAATATTCTTTTTAATTTAAATACCTTTTTTGTGTGGAATCCAATTTCAACATCCATAGGAATTGGGATGATGTGTTATGTTTCACCTCATCTTTTAACCCATAATGAACACTTTAATATGGCTTATTATAATTCACTACAAATAAAGAATATACACATGTATATGCGACTGTCGGAAAATAATATAAAGGATCTTAGCTATACGATAATTCAATACAACTAAAGAATATACACATGTATATGTATATATATGGAAATAAAATTCACCGAGAGTAGATTGTTGTGGTGGATTGTTTCGTATAGTATTATTATTGGAGTTCCACAATTTTTTGTAACCATATCTAATTTCATCCTATCATGAAACCAAGAAAAGTAGGCTAGTTATAAAGATGATTCTCTACGAATCAATTAAATCGCCTTTCTATAATTCAAAACTCACGCTTGAAGATCGTGTGAGAAGAATGAATCAATATAAGAAGCTCGCATTTGATTTCTGAGACCTCTGGTTCATTCTTCAACAAGGATTTTCTGTTAATTATAAATTTTAGTGATGAAAAATAATATAGTTGTAGGGACTCAAGGAATATACTAAAGGGATGCAAGAAGCAACTAGTCAAGAATAGATCAAGGGAAATAGGGGTGTTCATGGTTCGGTTTGGGTCGGTTTTTTCTTAAAAAGAAATCAAACCAAGTAAGTTGGTTCTTCAAATATTGGAACCAAACCAAACCAATTAAGTCGTTTTTTTATCATTCGGTTTTTATCAGTTTTAATCGGTTTTTCGGTTTTTTCGATTATTTATCGGTTTTTTCTTAAATATGAAACATACATTACCAAACACATATTCCGGAGACTACATTTTCAATGTAACACTATCAAATCAATTGCTCTTTGAAAAATCTATCATTTACCAAGATATATTGATGATAATTGAACCAAATAGTGATGAATAATTTAGGTACTCAATTAAAAATCGATTATTTTTAACATGAAATAAATTCATGTACTTAGCAAAAGAAAACTATCAACCAAACTAGAATGTAAAGGCAAAGAATTAGATTATTATAATAGCAAAAAACTAGATTAAAAATATAAACGATTAATATGTACTATAAAATTTTAGAAACTTTATATAAAAATATACATATGTACAGGTGTAATAATAAATTTAAATAGCTACTTCTATAGTCGGGTTGGTTCGATTTTTTTCAGTTATTTTTTAATTAAAACCAAAACTAAACCAAACTTGATCGGTTTTCAAAATTCAAAACCAAAACCAAACCAAACATAAAAGATATCGATATTTTTGGTCGGTTTGGTTCGGCTTTCGGTTTGATTTGATTTTTCGAATTTTTATGAACATCCCTAAAGGGAAACAATCAAGATTAGAAGTGCAAAAGGAAGATCAGAGATTGACGGAAGAAATGCAACGCAAAAGGAGGAACAGAGAATCAATCAGAGATTGACGGAAGAAATCAATCGGAGATTGATGGAAGCTAACAAGCAAAGAATCAACGATGAAAAAGGAAGAAGCGAAGAAGCTCCGGCAAGAATAATCAATTAGAAGCTATTACTGGAAGGTTCCAAATTCAAGGGAAACGCAATCACTAAGAATCAATAAAGCCAAAGATCAAGGGATCCAACAGATATGACTCAGAGATGAAAAACTCGTCAAGACCGCATATCAAGGAAGATTAACGGGGACTTAACTTTATTCTTGTAAAGAATCAATCTATGATTCCTTTCAAGAATCAATCTCTTGGGTTTGCAATCTCTCAAGATTCTTGAAGGCCTCATGAAAAGTATGTATTTACAGAAGTTCTGGACATAAAAACAAATACTTTAATCGAACCATCTACTCTCTTTTTGTTCTACTCCAAACAAGCATTGTAGTTCTTTTAGATCTGATGTGTAACTAGTGAGAGAAGAAAGAGATATAATCACTAGAAAGGCATTGTATCAAGAAAAGAAAGAGACATAGAGACTAAGTTGTTGGTGTAAAGCTACACCATGACTTCTGTACTCAAAAAATATCGATCACTGAAAGAGAACACCCTTGCAACCCAAGGGGACTAGACTAGGATTCACTTTGAATCCGAACTAATATAAAAATTTTGGTGTCTTTAATTCCTGCATTTTTATTCTGCATTTATTATTATCCTGCTCTTATTTTTAGTCGACTAATTGGTAAACTAGTCAACTACTGATAAAACTTTTTAAAATAAGCAATTTCCCCTCTCCCTCCCNTGTGAGAAAAGATCATGACAAATAAAGTTATTGTTGGAGCACTCTTTCAATAAGGAACATCGCAAGTTAGGCCACCATATTTCAATGTAAAATATTTTTCACACTGAAAAGTGCGTATGGAAATATATGCAAAGTCATACGACGTCAAAGTTTGGCGAGTTATCAAAAAGAAAAACTATCCACTACCAGTAGTTGCTCAACCACTTGCTGATTCAGAAGATATAGATGAATACACAAACGAACATATGGCAGTTGTTCAAGTCAATGCTAAAGCAAGAAACTTACTCTATAATGCTATAAGTGGAGAGGAATATGAAAAAATCTCTAGTTGTGATACAACTAAAGAAATGGGGGATAAACTGGAAGTTACTTATGAAGGAACCAGCAAAGTGGAAGAACTTTTACATAATGAATACATCACTGTTCCGGAATAGAAGAAGCAATGAAAATAAATACATTAGAGGGTGATTTTGGAGCCTGCGAACGCCCGGTAGTTGTACCTCGAAGTCTCCCGCCACACGAAGCATGAGTCTCAAAACCTACTCAATCCAGAGTACCCGACTCTGCACAAAAATGTACAAAAGCATAGCATGAGTACACTACGGTGGTACCCAGTAAGTATCAAGCCTAATCTCGGTAGAGTAGTGACAAGGCCAGGTCAAGACACTCACTGAACATCTAAACCTGTGCAGGATATGACATAAAGCTAACAAGAAAGGAATATTAAAGAAATGTCAATAGCAACAGAAATCAGATTACAAACAGTAATAACGATAAGGGAAACATGACTGGCAACGAAAAATA